CAAGGGCTGTCGTGTTGCGCGTGCTGTGGCTTTGCGTGAGAGATCGCTCTCTCTCTCTTCTCTCTCTCTCTTCTGAACTGCGAATTGCAAATTTGCATCACAGACTATGGTTTAATTAAAATATAGCTTATATATAGAAATGGCTGGCGAAACATGTTCAAGATAACTTCTTTATAGGAATAATAAATAGTAGCCCAACTTATGTGTATTTACTTAATTTCTCCAGTACCGACAGCAGAACCGATAACGTCCGAGCTTATCGATACAGCGGTCTTTCAAAATTCAGTACCGGGGCCCGTTTAATACCGGGTTTCGGTACCCATCCCTAATTTTAACTGATGAAAAGTTAAGCATTATATAATATGATGCTGTTGGTTAATTTCACTTGGCAAACTTGTCATGAATTGTTACCATAGCATTTCATTAGAAGATATTCATTATTTCATTAGATATTCATTATTTCATTAGAAGATATCTCGAGGCCACGAGTTAGTATCTCGTGGCCACGAGTTACTACACTGTAAAAAAAAATCCTAATTTCACAGAATATAACTGTGATTTTTGACGACCATTTTCTTTCATTTTAAATTTTACTCAAAACACTGTAAAATTACAAATAATATCTGGAAAATAAAAATGCAGCTGATATTTTAGGTATTGTTACATTAAAGAAAAAATTCCAGTCATTCACATTTTTTTACAGAAATTGATTGTATTTTTCATACAGCATTTTTCTGTTTTCTTAAATTACATCAACATTTATGTAAAAGTACAAATAGAATCTGTAATTAAATGGTAACAAAACAGTTAAATGATTACATGACTGTAGCTCAAAAAACTGTAACATTAAAGTAAAACATCATAAATTAAATAAACTGAAAAACACTGTTATTTACAGATATTTCTTGCATTATTATGATCAAATACCTTCATTGTAAAAAAAAAATCATAAAAAAATGGTCAAATGACTGGCAACAAAGGCTGCCAAACAAAAACCATAAAATTAAAGTAAAATTTAAAAATTTAAATAAACTGAAAAAACACTGTTATTTAAAGGTATTTCCTGCATTATTGTGATCAAATACCGTCATTGTAAAAAAATCGTCAAAAAAGGGTCAATTGACTGGCAGCACAGGGTGCCAAACAAAAAACATAAAATTACAGTAAAAATATGTTAATTTAAATAAAAACTTGACATCACCACGATTGAGATCAGTGTTTGCTTTAGTTGAGCTCTTGACCTTTATTATATGCTATTAGTTTTACTCTGGCTGCTTTAATTATTTTTTTTAACATACATTTGTTCTAGCATTGAAAGCGGGGGAAAATATCAGCTGATATTGGTCAGTTATTGGTGATGTTATAGTCATCATATGGTGACCTGATTCACTGATATGACAGAGAAATACCCGAGTGTATCTGTTGTGATTACGTGATTACATTATAAATAAGTGTACTTAAGTTTTAGATTAAATCTAGGATTGTCGTATTTTTCCCCATGAACCTTGTTATATTAAAACAATATTAATTAAGTGATTCATTTAGTGATGATTGAGCATTATTGAAGACACCTGGTGATAACAAGCAGAATCACTGAAGGAGAAAATCACAAATTGTAAGCCACCGTTATGGCGATCAGTGTTTGCTTTAGTTGGGCTCTCGGCACTTATACTTTCACTTTAAATTTTGTTTGTCTGCTGTTATTGATTTCTAACAGTCAAGTGAACAAAGAAAAGTGGGATCTGACAGAGTTGGTTATGTTTTGACATAATCACACTGTGATCTAAATGAAACCTATTCAGATGATTCGGTTTAACTTGTTGGCAACAGTTTAGTGGTTCTGCAGCATATGATAATCTGCATTTTTCTTATAATCCAAAACATGTAATAAAAATTGTTCTGATCAAATCCCTTTATCTTTATTTAGAAACGCAGACATCAATAATCAGCCTGTGTATCTCAACCGTGGTGACAATAATAATCCTTGTTGCCACCAATCACAACTCATTCATGGCTCCCATCATGCATTGCGGTATGAATAAATTATGATCTGAATTGTCTATGTAATTTACTTTTCCTAATTGAATATTCTACTCGTCACCGTTGTTGAGAAGCATTGACTGAATCTTGATATCTGTGTGTGCCTAAAAGACAGACTTTCTTTTTTGTACAACGTTTAAGAAATCCATTATATTATATCACAAATTCTGGGTATTTATACAGAATCACAGTTATAATGTACCCAACAACATAAGTCACAAACATTAAGTTCAAATAATGATTGTCATAATATAACAAAAATTATTAGATAATATTTTTGTCTTTGTTCATCTGGCAGGTACAGCCAATTAAAATATAAAGTTTATAAAATAAGGGTCAAGAGCCCAACTAAAGCAAACACTCATCTCCATAACGGTGGCTTACAATTTTAGATTTTCTTCTTGTGATTCTGCTTTAGGTGTCTTCAATGATGCTCAATCATCACTCAATTAATCACTTAATTATCTCATTAACTTTAACACTCTTGAGTGTATACTCCTGTATCCCAGGAGTGTTAAATTAACACTGACTGAGTTTTTGCTGTGACGAAGAGCTGTAGTTAGCTGACAAGCTGAGCCATAGTGCATTAAAAATCAGGTGATATCACCAAGCATTCAATTACATGAAAAACATTACCATTAATACGTGATCAGATCTTCTGAACTGAGATTCTCTTGGACTCCTACCATAACAAATATATATCAATTATGACACTCAGTTAAAGCAACCAGAGAAATAGTAATGTTAAAAGCAAAGGGTCAAGAGCCCCACTAAAGCAAACACTGATCTCCATCTTGGTGACATCAACCTTTATTATTTTACATAAAAAAATCAACTTCTAAACATCTGTCTCAGTAAGAATGTTAGTATGCAATAAATAAAGTCTGGATTGTTTCTGTATGGTGTGTTTTGTGGGTCACCATTGTGTTGAAGAGTAGAGCCTGTGCTTCAGTTCAGGATGAGCAGAATAAAACTGATGAAATGCTGCATGTTCCTTTATTTAACTGACAGTAACTGTGTAGTTGCTGATGCAGTGATGTGACAGTAAATCATACATCACCTACATGTTTCTTAATAAAACATTCAGGAAATATGTGAAATAACTGTTAAATAACTGTTCTGTTAAAGAGCTTACTGAAGATTTCTACTTTTGCACTTATTTAAATTAGGCTATTTTACATTCATTTTATGTTTTTTTTATGGCAGCCATTGCTGACAGTCATTGACTGTTTTTTACTATGAAGGTATTTGATGAGAATAATGCATTGTTTTTACAGTTAGAGTGTTTGATCGTAATAATCCAGATAATAGCTGTAAAATAACAGTGTTTTTCTGTAAAACAACTTAATTTAAATTACGATATTTTACTTTATTTTTACGGTATTTGTTTGGCACCCTTTGCTGCCAGTTATTTGACCCTTTTTTTATGATTTTATTTTTTACAGTGTATCTTGAGGCCACGAGTTACTATATCTTGAGGCCACGAGTTACTATCTTGAGGCCACAAGTTACTATCTTGAGGCCACGAGTTACTATCTTGTGGCCACGAGTTACTATCTTGTGGCCACGAGTTAGTATCTTGAGGCCACGAGTTACTATCTTGAGGCCACGAGTTACTATCTTGAGGCCACAAGATAGTTATAATTAATTTTTTTTACCAAAGTGGGACTAGAGGGGCTCCGTAGAAGTCAATATGTGGCGGTCAGCGCTGATTATGTGGTGGGCTGCCACTAATAAATGTATGGGAAACACTGTACCGGTTATCACTCAGATAAACATAGGCTATTTTTAATTCCGCCGTCTCCCTCATAGGAAACCTTGACATTTTTATTTTTAAAAATTGCGTTTGCTCCCTAGGTCAGGTTGCACCCCACAGCTCACCAACCTGCTCATCACCTTAACTTTCACTGCATTTGTAGTCAATGCCATATTATCCAGTAAACACTAATAAACGAACAGAACGGAAGTTAACTTTGGGCCAGCTCATCACCATGGCAACGCGTCTGATGAAAGCGTCTATAGCTAACTGTATAATTTGTATAGTACATTTCTGAAATACATTACTTGGATGCATTCAGCTCTGATGTAGACAATGTGTATTGTAGACACATGCATTTTCTGAAAAATTGGTTTTGAAGGTGGTATTGTGAAAAGTGATATACAAATTAATGTGAACTGAATCGAAAATATTAAAAAGCTTTACACTGTCAATACCCGGTCTGCGGTATCTGCAGACACCTTTGACTTCGCATTCCCTCGCGAATACGGCTTTAAGTGCTTTGTTCATATACGGCACAATAATGACAGGAATCATGAATTAAACCACAGAAAAAAATCGACCATCCGATAATTAGGTAGCGTCTTTAACCTCGAAAATAAATAAACGAGAGGAATATAATACCTTAGCTATTTCAGATTTAGTGCAGCGACAACAAACACCAGATGATGCGCTCGGGCTGCAAATTCATTTATAAATCCTAACTGAACCAAATAATGATCCATGAAGAACATTGCCCAATAAGAGGCGTTTAAATCTCCCCGCGGATTCAATACTTTAAACGAAGATTTTACAAGCATCATATCGTGCTTTCAGCATATTAACCACAGCAAGCGACGGAGTGAAATTATTTTTTGCGGATAGCGCGTGTCCAGGTGGCGTCTTTACGCATGTATAAGCGCGCGCAATCTGCAAAACTGTTTATTGTAATGCATAGGCTAGTTATTGGACTTGGCTGAGATTGATAACCAAATAAAAGAAAAAAAAAAACAGTTTGTGGGTCCCAGTTTATAAGGATAACATGCTGATTATAGACAGAATTATCTTGCATTACGGAGTGTTTGAGAAATTAAAAGCAAGAGAGAGAGAGAGAGAGAGAGAGAGAGAGAGAGAGAGAGAGAGAGAGAGAGAGAGAGAGAGAGAGAGAGAGAGAGAGAGAGAGAGAGAGAGAGAGAGAGAGGGCGCAAGCAAGTGTTCCACCTAAGCACACAGCTCGGATGCTGACAGACTAAAGTTTCGTCGGCTTGTGTGAATGAGGACAACTTCCAATTAAAGGAACGATGCAGTATCAAAGACATTTTGGAATTCTACACCTTGGATTTTTTTTATGGACGTCATTTTGTATTAAAGGTAGGTGCTGCTGTTTTCTACTTGTAATTTGCGTAACACAAGCTTTAGTAAAAGTGAACTCCTCGAAGGTGCATATGAGTTGCTTTTCCTTATGAGTTTTCCTTTCTAGAGTTGCTTTTATAACCTACAGTGTAACTTGGTGTGAATAGTATAGGCTACGTTGCTATTTAGGCTATATGACAAAATAATTACTTAGACTGAATTAGATCTAGGATGGATCATTTAATTGTGTAAAAATATGACCATTTAACGTTATGTTTGTTTTTATGTTCTTGCGTTTTTGTGTTCGACCTCGTAAAACCCCGCAACATCTGGCATGATCGCACTGACGCATGAACACTGACAGAAATATAGTTAACCCTTAAAGAGTTTAGTATCCTGGGGGATACAGACATTTAACAGGCTGTAGGGGGAGGGGCTATGGGGGGAGAGGCATTATTTGGTTGCAGTTGATGAGAAACACTGATGGGGTGATGGGTCATGTAATCATGACATGTGACTTTTTGCTATAACATTCCAAATATTTGTATCAAAATCCAAAATTGCAGCATATATGGACAAAGACACTCGCCATGAGCTAAGTGTTTTTATATTTTTCACGATTATGCTATTTTAGAGTGATTTTGTTTTAGAAAGTAGTTTTTTAAGGATAGTTTTACATGTTCTTGTTGTTATTTTCAAAATAATCTTCTCACAACTTTGATTATTAGGCATTGAATGTTTGTATCCCGGGGGAGATTGCCCATATAAGGGTATTTTCCAGGGCTGATCACTCAGATATTCTCATGTTTTGAGGCCTGTTCTCTACAGATATTGAATAGGATAAAGGTTTTGGATGTGCCAGGATGGGCAGAAATCCATCATGTGTCAGAAGTGCAAAGTCAGGCTTTGTCTGGTCACTGGTCAGCCCCCCCCCCCCCTTTTTTTTTTGAGAATGGGGGTTAAATGCTCTATTCACACTTAAATGGTTATAATTCAAGAATGCCTTGGAATATATACCCAAGTTTGGTCTTGTTTAAAACACTCAGCAGATTATTGCTGAAGTGAAAACACTTCAAAAAATGAAAGTATGAAAAAGTTATGGAAGTTTTAATTCACAGTAAATCAAATATACTGTACTATGTATTTTTTATTTTATATAAAAATATATATTTTACAAAATATTTTTACTCTAAAATTACTATAAAATCAAAGCCATAAATCTAACCAAGTTATGTTCCAAATTTGAAGTTGATATCACAAAAATTGAAGTTCCCATGAGATTTTGTTTAGGCGTAGTACCAAAAATAGCCACCGGGTGCCATTGAATTCCATTGAATTTAGTTGTGTACATTCTGCCTTAACAAATTAATACATTTCTGTCCAAATATCATGTTTCTATGGTAACGCAATGTATAATTATAAAATGGTTTTCACTGGATGAATTCTGAGTTTATAAGCTTTCAAATGATACCTAATTTATGATAACTACTAAAATATGTGATATAATAAAAAGGCGATAAAAAATATTATTATATTTTAGAGGATAATATATACATATATATTATAATTTTTTGAGGATAATGTTATACTATAATTTTTATTTTTTTATTGAAAAATACTAGATGATATGTTTTATTATGAACTTTTAGCATAAAAACAGAAGTTTCAATGATTAAAAGTGGGTGCATCAACTTTTTGTGACAAAGGTCAGACCTCCTGTTATGATGCAGATTTTTTTAGGTGCACTCTTGTCATAAATTCATTAATTACTCTTCCTACATAATTTTTAACACAAAACAGGGGTCGAATATTTAATTAGAAGTCTTAGACCTTTCCAATAGGGTTGTGCCGATAGATAGACGATAGTATCGTGTATCGACGATAGTCTGACATATCGGCGATGGCAGATGCCTTTGACGATATCAATATGATAATTGGCTCGTTTTACCATAATGTATTAAATTATTATTATTAGGCCTATTATTATAAAGCTAGTATTTTTATTAAATGAATATTAGGAACTACAATCAATTTGCCTTGCCTAAATTTACAACGACATCACCTCATAACAATTGCAACAACACACGCACTAATGAGGACTCCTCTAAGAGAATGTTTTTAAAACAGACTAAAAAACATCCCACATCAAAATTTAATTGCAAGGTGATCCATTCCCAAATTATCAAGTGTGCTCGTTTTAACAGACGCAAAATTCAATCCAAGATGAAAACGGCATCGTTGTTCGTCAGTATTTGTTTCCGTAACACATTAACAAAACGTTTAATGACACTAACACTAAAAACAATATAATTACTAAATAGTATTAATAATAATATCACTAAAATAGTATTATAGTTACCGTTTTCATCGTCGTCTCTGAGGGAACGCGGCGTTAATGCAGATGCCGAAAGCAGTCCGTTTTTACTTTCACTTTCAGAGATTGAGCGCGTTTACATTCGACGACGTTCTTAACCTGATTATGTTGAATAAACTTGACAATGCATGTGGTCATGTAAACGTTTCCTTTATCAGAGTCAAGTCATAAGTATAAACCGATCGACTCAGCTAGACGTCTGGCCCTTGCTCTTGTTTCTCCCGGCATTTAAAACACATTAACCCGCGTACTTCGTACTGAAGTGCGCATATGTGAAGTGCGCAGAGAGCGCATTGGTAGGGGGGCACATATCGCAAACTCCGACTTTTTCTGACCCAAGAAATTATTAAAACGTGTTTTCATCTCGTGCAGAAATAGGCCCTAGTCAAAATGCTGTATGTAACGGCATGAGGATAGGCTAATGTGTCCGTAAATTTCCCGTTGACAAACAAAAGGATTAGGATCTCTTTTTTTTTACCTCACTATACCAGGAAATAACCTGATCCTATTAATAAACACTCCACCTTTGCTAGCAAAATAGAAAAAAGATTCTCGTATATAAAACGAAGTAGGCTAATAAAACAAGCAAATTAATGAGTACGCTAAATAATCAAGTTAATAATCAAATGTTAGCCCCGCCCCCTCACGATACTATCGTGTGTATCGCCGATCTCGCAGGCTGACGATCGCCCAACATCTGAGCATATCGCCCAACACTACTTTCCAAAAATATATAATTTGTCATAATTAGATTAGGATTTAATAGAAATACAGTGAAGTAAAGTTAGGCGTCCCGGTACCGGGACGGTGACAGTTAAGGGGTTAAAAAGTTATGAAATATTAAATGTATATCCTACATAGGCAATGCATCTTGGGAGAAAAAGTTCATTTTTTTCCAATTTTTCTAATGTTGTATGGATAACATGAAAAATTGTAGCTAATTAATTGTTCATTAAATGTTTTAAAAGTTGTCATATTAACTATAATTAAAAAAATAATAATAAATTGCAAAATGTAACCCTAAATGGGCAATGTATCTCGGGAGATACAGAGTATAACTTAGAAACTATAGGTCATATTTTGAAAAAAAATTATGAACTCTGCCATTTTAGTCTAGATACATACAAAAATAGCAATGAATCATTTTTCCATCAAAATTATTTATACTTGCCCCTTAAAGGGTTAAACATCCTTAGATCTGCTCGCCAATACGCCGATGTGAGACAAGCAACCAAGTAGCCTTCACGAGGGATTTATAGGCTAACATAATTTTAGGGTAGGCTATTATAGACTATATGCGCCCTCATTAAGTGCATGTCTTGACTTTTGATGCTTTCAATTAACGCCTTGGTCAATAAATCTTTTATGCGCTAGTGATATTAGGCTATAGGCTACCTGAGTGGCATTTAATATTGATTAAATCACGTTTCAGACAAAAATTGACGAGTTGGTATATGCCTTTGCTGACACAGAAATGTGCTCCAAAAGAAACCAAAGCATCAATATTTGTTTGTAAACACAGGAAAGCAGACTGATATAAACAGTGTGATGTTGACTGTATATTTTGGAACACCACTCGAAACTTTGTATAAACCTCTCTCACACACATTGGAACTGTTCCTCTAAATAGAACCTGTCATAAAAACATGTAGGACTTGGTTTGTGTCATGATTACTTTTTGGATAAGCAACACATTCTGTTCCTGAGACATGAAAGAGGTCTCTTGGTGTTCTTTTATTCCCCTTGATGCCAAAAGCTTGATTAAAACTCTCAGATTGATATTGTCTGGACAGTCAGTATCTGTGTGTGGGTTTTACTTCTATCCATTTAAGGTCTGGGATTGCCCTAAAACTATTTACAGAGGTCACTCTCACACAGCTGTGCCAATTATGGTAATATTATAATGCGGACTGCAGATTTCTTTAAAAGGTAAAACATTTACAGACAAGGGCCTCTGGATACCTGGATCACTCATGTACATTCTTTAATAATGAAATTATGAGCAATGTTGTGTGAATTCAAATAGAATTTTTTTGAAAAATCCGACCCCAATTCTAACGTCAGTGGGGCATGAGCAGAAAATGTAAATGAGATTGCACAAATTCATACGAATTAGCCACCAATTCACAAAAATATAAAAAAAGTACAAATTGCCACAAGAGTGTGTTGTCCTTACACATTTCAAATCTGTATTCTTTTTTTTTTTCTTTTTCTGTGACACTGACTCGCTGTTTAAAAACTGTTTTGTTGTTAACGGCATTGGTATTTTCCTTATATTGCCACCACTCTCCCAGCTATCATGGAGGGTTAGAATTATACCATGACCTTAAAATCCCATATACCAGAAGCTTACACTAATTGGCTGAGAGAAAATGGTCAACATGCAAATTAAAGAGAGGATGGCAGCAGTCATATGTTTTGCACCAATGGAAATGGCTGGAGAGAGCCAGGCCTCATCATCATGTCAGTAACATACCCCACTGATTGTATCAATATTTACTTTCAAAATCCTCACAAAAATGCATTAATCCTTCCCTTTGCTTCCACACGTCTGGGAAGCTCTTCCAATAGATGTTGGATCATAGACGCAGTGATTGGCTCTAATTCAAATGCAAGAGCAGCAAGTGTTCCAATTCATTGCATG